AAAAAAAAAAAAAAAAAAAAAAAGAAGGAGGTACCGAACCGTAGCTCTTTGCACTTGTTCGCGATCGATACGCGCTCGTTCAAATCAATTCCGTGGCCGCCGATAATCGTCGGTTTCGCGGCCCCCTCCCCTTCCTCTCCGCCCGATAATCTCTGCCGTCTCGGCCATTTCCTTTTTGCGCTTTGCGAACCGTTCGTTCGTTGTGCTCGATCGATTTCGCGTTAAGCAAACCGATTCGAGACCGTATAGGCGATCGTTTGCAACGACGACGATCCCCGTTTACGACGAGACTACGTATTTCGAGCCGATTCTCGTCGTTGCGATTTCACGCACGGATAAAACGATCCCCACGCATCGAACCTCTATCGAGCTCCCCCACACCTCTAGGGGATCCTCTATCGTCTAATGAATTCGATTCAACCATGGAATACCCGATTCGATTCCAACCGTTCCTCAACCGTTTTCGATTCGACACGCGGCTATAATGTCTCGCGCCGCCATTTTCAAACACCGAGATACTCGTACATCGATACGATTCGATATTTTTTTATTCGACATCGAGGGATCCTGCGTCCATTAACGGATAATGAATCGTCGCGAATGAATGTATTAACGCGCGTACATAATGCAGATGTATTATACGCGTGTATTTCGCTTAATGAATAGTATACGACTGGATGCTACGCAACCGGTGGGACGCGTTGTGCATTATTCGGGGCGCAGAGATACAGATTGGATGCAAGGCGAGGACGGTAAGATGCGGTGTTATGTATCTGCGAAGGTGTCGAGTGTAAATTTTGTGAAGTGCATGCCACGCTGCATGATACGCGCAACTTAGCGGTTATTAATCGTGAATTTTAATGCTCGGGTGTCTCGGTGCCATTTTACGTCCCCTTTCGTCGTACGAGGGTTGCATTAACATTTATCTCTATAATCGAAATTCGAGAAGGAAATTTGTCGTGTGGATTTATTCGCGATTTATACATCGATATATCGATTTTGATATGAGAATCATTTCCTGTCTTCGCACAGTGTGTCTGGTTTCGTTTAGTTTAAGATGATTTAATAATTAAGCGCGAACCAAAAATTATTATTCTACAATTTCCATATTCTACGAAACGCACTTCGATTAATCTTCCGACCAAACACGAATCCAAGCTCGCGGTGAAAACGGGCTATTCGCGAGGCCACAGTCTTATGCCAGGGGCGGCAGGTGACGCCTCATAATTTGCATAAATTATTGCGTCGCATCGCTCGTTTATGCGCGAATTAGAACGCCATTCGTATACCAGCCATTCCCCGGAAATTCCGGCATTACGTTGCCCGCTATATTGTTAAACTACTGTACAACAGCGGAGAGTTCTGTTGTAGGATTTACTCCTGGCACGGTCATTAGTCGGCTGCATTTCCACCCTTCCTTCCTCCCCCGCTCGGTGACGTTAGTTTTAATTTTTACACTTGAAATTTTTACGCGCGAAAATATTCAAAATATTCGATCGAAGTACTCGATTTTTCGACACTATATCGAAGTTTCTTGCGGTTATTTTTTTTTTTTTTTTTTTTTTGGAAACGAGTAGCAAATGATTCGAATGGAACGCGATTGAAAAACGAAACTCGAGAACCGATGAACGAAACGAGAAACAATTACTTTGGAACGACAGGCGCAATGAAATTTCCACCAGTTTTACACTCGTTCGACTGTTCGAGGAACGTAGTTCGAGTTTGTATGGGGGGGCACGTGTTACAACCCCATATCGTATCACGATCGACGAAACGAGAAAGAGCGACGTTGAAAATGTTTTAAAATCGAATGAGAGAATTCGTGCGAAACAATGAAAACGTATGCGTTTCTAATTCTTCGATACTTCTATCTAATAATTTGGATACTTTGGATTAAAAAATTTGAAATTTCAATTTCACGAAACTGAAATAAAACGCGTTCAAAGTTCGCGATATACTGCGCTATAGTTAAATTTGGAAATATTATATAGGTAGCGCGAAATTGTCAAAGCTTGTGAAAACTATAAAAAATTGGAAATCGGGATACGAAATCTAAAATTTGAAGCGTTCAATCGTTAACTCCTCGTACACGAACACACGTTCCTCGAGAGCTTTTTTGAATTTCATGCATGGCAAATGCGACATCGGTGTATCACGTATCCCTGAAACTCGCTTATTGTTTGTACCACCTGTACCCGCTACTGCGATCTTTTTTACCCGTTTGTCATCCCTGTGTACAGACCGAACTAACTGATATCCGCGTGGAATACATTACGCTTTGAAACCGTTTGGATAACAGTTGACGACGTTGGCTTTCGCATGCATACGATACTTTGTGACATGCCTAGTGTTTTAACGATATACTCTGCACCCCCACACGCTTATGAAACGTTTCGTTAGTAATATACACGTACCACTTTTCCCTCTAAAAAAAAAAGAAGAAAATAAAAAAATATAATAGAAAAAGGAAACGATAAAGAAATTCAACACAAAATACGTACTCCTCAATCCCCCAATCCTCCAAAACCTTTCAAGATAATTCCTTTCCACGCTAACAAACTCCCTCTACCACCTCTCTCTCTCTTCAACCACGTATCCAACACCCCCGTCTCCCTCAGGCATCAATCTCAAAATACGCGTTCATCAATCAGATACTCGGACCAGAATCCCTCATCTCGATCCGCGTTTCGAATTGGCTCGGGAACCAGCAGCCTGTTAAACGATCTCCATCGCGACTTACTTTATCGCCCGGGGTAATTAGCGGTCCAATCGATACTGTCTCCCTCTCTCTTTCTCTCCCTCTCCCCCTCGAGCTTATTTATTCGTCCACGTAATCGGTCGAGCTCGTTAAGCCGAATATATATATACACACACACATATACGACGTTTGAAAACGTCAGTCCAACGCGTCTACTACGAGTTCCCCTCCCCCGAAACTCTTGTCCTCGATTAATATCCGACCGATTAAGGGTAGGTTAGGGGGATAGGCGATAAGTAGGGGGCGCAGGTGTCGAGCGTCGATGACTGTCCCGTGATCGGGATCGGGGGTAACATGCACCTTATCATCCCTGTACACTCGCAGCTCGGTAACATGCACGTTCTAATCTGGATTAGCCCCGGCTAGTCCGTCTTTGTGCGTGGAAACTGGGCCGTAGGGGGAGGAGAGGGGACCTCCTACGACGACGCGTGCCCGCGCGGCCCCGTCCGTGTCCACGCACACACCTCGCCCCCCCCTAATTGCGTCATTTTCGTGTAATCCAGTCGATTCCGGTAGGTTACGGGCAACAGGGTTCACGAGGTACACGGGAGCCTATTTGCTACGAGAGATTGCGATTGGGAGAGGAGGGGTCCTCCTCAACGTCTTTGTTTTAACTCGGTTTGGCAAACTCGTGGATAACGAGTTCGACGATTCGACACTTTCGATTCGACGATTAGGAAAACTTGAGATCAACGGAATAATCGTCGGATGATATGGATAAATGGAAAGTTTTGTTTTAAATATCGTTTTAAATATAAATGTCGGGGTTTTATATGTAAGATCGAAACTTGCCTCTTGTTTTTGTAAGGCGGCTACATCCCCGCAAACAGGGCCCAAACCGGTGAGCTCGGTGTCTTTTCTGATCACCCATTCGATAAGCTCGCGCAAAGACAACAGAAGAGCGTTCCAGTGTTCCGTATTGCTTTCCAACCGGTTTCTGTAAACAGATAAAAAGAAATATTACGACGACGATGATGATGATGATGATGATGAGTATGATGAATCCGCTGAAAACTTCTCCGTATTAAAAATCTTCAAAGGAACGTTAGAAACGCGCGATCCCGAAGGGGGGAGAGGGGAGGAGTTTTAGCATTAAGATCGCACACATTGCGCGCACGCCAACTGTGAAAAACTGACTCGTACAAGGAGAACGACGCGTACGTCTGCTCGTAAATACTGATAAGGGATGGTAGGGCGCGTCGCAGGGGGGGGGGTGGAGGAATATTTATTCTCCTGGAGAAAGTGAAAGAGAGAAGCCAGAAAATGAAACGACGAAATGAAGAATGCGAAGGAGAGGAGGGAACGTCTGCGTGGATAGAATGCAAGAAAAAAAAAAGAGCGAGGAAGACATTCAAGGTGAGCTATGAAAACGAAGAGAAAGGGGGAAGGGAAGGAGAGGGTAATGAATGGAAGAAAGGCAGAAAGATCTTGAAAACATTGTTCGAGAGAAAGGAAAGGTTAAAACAATAGGGGAAACACAATTAAAGGTGACGCGAGAGGCGAGGGGCGAAGAAATAAATAATAAAATGCGAAACGAAGGAAGGAAAAAGAGAGCCCCCCTCCCCGAAATACCAATTTGGACGAGGTGTAAAACAAATATAATCACGGACAAGGAGG